ACAATGCAGAAATCTTGGTGAAGTGCAGTCAGGCAGAGCAACCAGCCATTGCAAAAGCAATGAAGCAGAAACTGGCCTGAACAGCAAAAATGTTGTGGGTCAGAGTTGAGAGAAGTTGTTAAAGCTGGAGACAAAAAAAATCAGGGAAAGCAGGAACAGGTCATTGAAGGATCTAGAGGGCATCTAAGCCTTTGGCAGGTTTGAAGCAGCGGAGTGCTAGAATCTGACTTCATTTTAATTTATTTTATTTTTAAAATAATTTTTACTGATTTCAGAGAGGGAGAGGGAGAGAAAGTTAGAAACATCAATGATGAGAATCATTGATAGGCTGCCTCCTGCACACCCCCCGCTGAGGATCGAGACCACAACCCTGGCATGTGCCCTTGAAGGAAATGGAACAGAGGACTCTTCAGTCTGCGGTGTGTGTGTGTATGTGTGTGTGTGTGTGTGTGTGTGTGTGTGTGTGTGTGTGTGGCAGGATGGAGGAAAGATCATTAGGAGGCTTATTCAGCAATTCAGGGAGACATGATGGTAGCTTGAAGAGGGCTGGTAAGAAATAGCCAGTCATATTCTTAGTGTTTTTATTGCTTTCAGAGAGGAAACAGGGAGGGAGAGATAGAAACATCAATGATGAAAGAATCATTGATCAGCTGCCTCCTGTTCACTCCCTGCTGGGCATCCTGCCCAAAACCCAGGCGTTTGTGCCCTGACCCAGAACTGAACCATAACCTGATTCATAAGTTCATGCTCAACCACTAAGCCATACCTGCTGGATATAGTCTTAGTGTTTTTAATTTTGATTTGTAAGAGTATTAGTGAATGGTGAGTTGATTTTTTTTTTAAATTAGAATTGGGAAAGACTTTTTAAAAATGAATTGCAGTGTGTCATACAGTGGCCGGCTGAAGGCAGTGTTGGTCTGACCCGTTTCAGGACCCCAGGGTAGGTAGGCCCCACCATAGCCTCTCTTCTCTAACTTCCTACCGAACAGATTTATTCCAGGTCAGGGCACATAGCCAGGTGTGGTTCCTTCCCTGTTGACCGTGGGCAACTGTTGATGTTTCTCACTCTCCATTCCCTTTCTCTAGAATCCATGAAAAACATATCCTCAAATGTGAATTTAAAAAAAATAATAAAAGAGATCTTTCAATAAATGATACAGATGTGACTAAGTGATAAGAAAACATTGAGCTATCAGCAGTGGCTTTTTGTTGTTGTTAACGGTACATAAAATAATAGGGCATCATGTTATTGGAGCCATTTTGCAATTGATAGTATCTTAGATTTGATGAAATGTGGTAAAGTATCTTAGAATATAAATTTTTACCCAATTGCAATTCTGAAACAGTTGAATCAGATGTTTTGGAAAGCAGAGAGACAATTTCAAATATCTTTAGAGATCCTACACTATAAGGTAAAATTTTAAATCTGCACTTAAAACTTCCTTTTCAAATTAATAGTTTACTTGTTTATATTTAGTTCCTAACTTTGAGAGCCTGGGGCAAGGGATTATTTAAAAGAAATTACTGGCAATTTAGAATCAGAGTGAGGAAGACTACTGAAGAGATTGCTGAGGTAAAGGGAAGTCATTCAGAAATGATAAGAATTTCAGAAATAATCTTTCATATGTGTGTTTTAATGATTAAGATGTAGGCTATATCCATATATTTGGTAAAATCAGTTTCAACTTCTATGAAATTTTTATTAGAACATCTTAGCATAGCTTCTTAGGTTTGATAAGATGTGATTGTTATAGTTGGGGTTCCCAGCTGGGACCTCAGTTTTTCTGTTCTATGCAGAACAGATTTTAAGGTCTACAAAAATGAAAGTAAAGCAAAGTGGGATTTATTGAAGATACATTGCAGTTGAGAGAGACAATAGCAAAAGGCAAAGTGAGATTTATTAAAGATACACTGCAATTGAGAGAGACAATAGCAAAAAGCAAAGTGGGATTTATTAAAGATACACTGCAATTGAGAGAAACAATAGCAAAAAGACGATATCCGGGAGAGGAGGAGATGAGGAGACCTGGGTTCTTGCCTTCTTGAGAAAAATATTTCAATCAAGAGACAAAGTGTAGAAAAGCAAGCAAGAATTTATTGCATACAGCAAAAATATACTTAGGAGAATGAAACAAGGAAGGGCATAGAGACGGCAACAGGGGAACCTCAGCTGGGCTGCTTTGGCTCACTGGAAGTCAGAGAATAGGCCTGACACCAGTCCAGGGACCTTACACTGTACCTTCTGCCCAGCGGGGCTTGACAGGGACCTCAGGCCACGTCCCCGACCCAGGCACTGGGCCAGGGGACCTGAGGTCCCACTCTCCCGCCTGGTGGGGTTTGACGGGACCTGAGACTGTGTCCCCCACCCAGTGGGGCTTGATGGGGGACCTCAGGCTGCACCTCCCTCCTGGCCCCGGGCCAGGGGACCTGAGGCTGTGCCCCCATCCAGCGAGGCTTGACAAGGGTGGAACCCGCCGATTCTGGATCTAGCCCAATGTGGGGGGCCAGCCGGGGCTGGGTCTCACGCAACTTTGAGGTGCAATTGGGTGAGCGGGGACTTCACTATGGGTCCCATGGTGCGCCCCATAATCTGACAGGAGGAAGATTTTCATATACATTTACTATTTTTGTTTCATCTCTGATACTTCTATTATAGAGAAAGGGCAAATAGCAATATTAAAGTATTTCCTCTAATTAATCCCCTTTTAATGTGCACAAATTTTGTGCACTGGGCCACTAGTGTCAATAAAAGAACTGGAATGTAACAGTTCTCAGCTCCAGCTCAGAAGACAAACCAATCCAAAATAAACTATACATATTATACCAATTAGACATAGGCACACAACTGGCCATGAACACCAAAAAAAATGTTTTATAAGCATGATGTATGTTCTGATTTATGGAAGGAAAAAAAAAAAATCACTGAATTCTTTCTGCCCAGTTTTGCTAAGATTCTAAAACAACTCTAAAAAATAGTGTATTAAAAAAAATTTCAACAAAACATAAATTTTAGAGCACCTGAATTGGAAATTTGAGAATACTATATATTCTACTAATGAACAAAGTCCTAATTTGGTTGTGCAATAATTAATAATTTTCCAAGTCTCCATAAATCATTATGTTAGACCAGAGGCCCAATGCACAAAATTCATGCAGGGGATCGGCCCTTGCAGCCCCGGCTGACCCGTGGCCCTGAGCCCCACTTCTCTGCCCCTGCCCACTGGTCATTCTGGAAGGTCATTCCACCTTCTGGCCTAATTATCATATTAGCTTTTTATTATATAGGATAGCATAGTAATATTAGCTTTTTATTATATAGGATAGCCTAGTTCTTCATTTATTTTCAATTCTCACCCGAAGATATTTCTTCCATTGATTTTTTTTTTTTTTTTTTTTTTTTTTTTTTTTTTTTTTTTTTAAGAATGGAAGGGGGGGAAGAGGGGGACAGAGACACATTCATTGGTTGCCTCCTTCATGAGGCTCCCTCAGGAGGCTGGGGATCAAACTTGCAACTGAGGTGCATGCTCTTGACTGGGAATCGAACCCAAAATTCTATGGTCCTCATACCATCACTCTAACCTCTGAGTAAAACAGGCCAGGGCATATTAGGTTACTTTTACTGCCACAGTATCAACAATACTACAAGAGAAGCCCCAGTAGAAGAGTATCTTAGAACAGTAATTCCTCTGGCAATAAAGTTTTTGTGGCAAAGTATAATTTAAGAATAACAATAAAACACACCAGCTGCTAACCAGTGACTACTTTTTCTCTATTACTAAATAACTGATTATCTTGGCAAAATTACTTATTATCCCAATATTTTTTTTTTTTTAATTTTTTTGTCAGATATTTTAGATTAGTTCCTAGTCAGGTCTATGTGTTGATACAATTTTTGTCAAATGCTTAGAGCTATTATTGTTTTTAGAATTAGAAGCTCTGGAAAGTTTTCTAGTACTTGTTGATTAACTGTTATTAGATTTTTAAAATAATATAAGTAGAATCCATTAGTTTTTGCCAGTGTTTTCTAGTAATACGCAAATAATGATCACAAGCCCTGGTAGAAGAGTGTAGTTTTTTAGTTTTTTTGTGTGTTTTTTTAATCCTTACCCAAGGATATTTTTCTACTGATATTTAGAAAGAGTGGAAGAGAGAGGGAAAGACAGAGAAAACCATCTATGTGTTGAGAGAAAAACACAGATTGGTTGCCTCCTGCATGCACCCGACCAGGACCCGGACCTGGACTGGGGAGGAGCCTGCAACCAAGATACAAGTCCTTGACCAGAATCGAACCCGGGACCTCTGAGTCAAACCATGTGGGGCTGATTAACCATTTTTAATGTAAAATATTTGGCAGTTTAAGCTAGCATGATTAATTAACCTCAGAATTTTTGCTTATATGCATTTTTCTGTATGTGACAGTATATTTTCTAATTTCTATGAAATTATAAAATTAAAATTCATTTTCTTTTAAAAGGACACATTATACATACTGACATTACTTCTAAGTAAACATATGATTAATATTGATGTTTTCCTAACCGTTGATCTTTTAATATTTGTCTTTCCTAATCATGTTTCTCTTTAAAATTGTACACAATTAAGTCAATAGTGAGAATATGTAATATGCAAAAGTAACATATAAGAAGGAATTTAGCAATGCTTAGGAAACAGGTATGTTACTTGGTTGTAGCTTAGTTAAGGTTATTGCTATTTTTCTTTAATATTTCTGTCTGCATTTAGAAATGCAGAACATTTCTAAAATGTTCTGCAATATTTTAACACTTTCTTTAAAACTTTACATCCTTAAAATTCTGTCTTTGGTTTGATTTGTAAGAAAAGTGGTGGGGTTTTTTGTAATATATTGATCTGATACAGTAGAAAATATTTTTATTTTTAGACTGCTTGTTCACAGTGTCCTATAAAATAAATTTATTCCTTCTACAGTATAATTTATAACTTTTATTTTTTCACTTAGGATTTTCTGCCGTTTCTTGGCAAAAATGGCAACCAATGATGCTGTTTTGAAGAGACTGGAACAGAAAGGTGCAGAGGCAGATCAAATTATTGAATATCTTAAACAGCAAGTTGCTCTTCTTAAGGAAAAAGCAAGTAAGAAAAATTTAAACTTTCTAAAAAGATACATAAAATGAATTCATATGTTGACATGTTGACAAACCAAAAAAAAAGTGTTTCTACATAAATTACTACAGTATCTTGATGATAACTTTTATATTCTTTTAATATTTTAATTTGCAGTGAAATGATAGTCTAGAATTAAGATATATTAGAATTGGTATATAGTGAATGTATGATATATAGAGAAAAGTGTATTATTTTCAGACTTCTGGGGGAAAATAATGTTTAAAATAATTTGGCATAGACGAAACCGGTTTGGCTCAGTGGATAGAGCGTCGGTCTGCGGACTGAAAGGTCCCAGGTTAGATTCTGGTCAAGGGCATCTACATTGGTTGCGGACACATCCACAGTAGGGGATGTGCAGGAAGCAGCTGGTCGATGGTTCTCTCTCATCAATGTTTCTAGCTATCCCTCTCCCTTCCTCTCTGTGAAAAATCAATAAAATATATTTAAAAAAATAATAAAATAAAATAATTTGACATAAAATTATAAATTAAAAATGAAGGAAAATGGGTGAAATCAAATATGTACTGAAGCTTGTGTAGAAGAGAATGCATACTTAAAAAAATTTTAAGTTGATTTTAGAAAGAGAGAGGAAGGGGGAAGAGAGAAAGATTGATATGCTGTTCCACCTGTTTATGCATTCATTTGGTTGCTTTTTGTATGTGCCCTATTGGAGTTCAAACCTGCAAATTTGATGTATCAGGATGACACTTACCAGTTGACCTACTTAGCCAGGGCTGAGAATGTATATTTTTATATTACTCCTATGGCATTGTCTGAAATGATTTTTACTTTTTTCCCAATACTTCTTTAAATTTTACTTAGAAATTACTATGATGTGTATAAAAATACCAAATCTAAATTTCTGCTTGTAGGATTTAGGTTGACATTTATTTTGTTTGTTTAAATATATTTTATTTTTCAATAGCCAATGTTATTCTTGTAATGAAAATTCCAAAATCTTTATCTATTTTATGTCAGGACATCTGGCATTCCTTGTCCCAACCCAGTAAATGCCAGTAATAACTCCCATTATTTTGAAAATCCCAGACTTAAAATTCCACCTAGGGAGCACTACCAACCCCACTGAGAAGCATTGCTTTTTCTTTTATACTTTTGTATATCCAGTTGCTCACCTTTAACACACATCTGTTATATTTTGAGCAAATTTTTGTAGCTACTTCACTCATTAAATGTTTGCTCAGTTTAAGCTTCTTAGGCATTAAGTATAAAGGGTTATTTAGGTACTTTTACAAGGTACTGACCAAAAAAATGAGAATAGTTTTTATTGTTTGGTAATTAGATCTCAGACTTTTAAAAAATAAATAATTTAATATGCTGAATATTTATCTCTCTTAACAATCTTATCCGTTCCTGACACTTTGAGCAAGATTGTTAAATTTTCATGAGCATCTTTACAGAAGCTAGGAAAATGATTCATAAAGCCTTTTCTGTTGTATTATTTCGCAGATTATCTTTCTTTTCTCTTTTATAAATACCATGTTGTTTTAATTAGTAATACAAAACTCTGATACAAGGAAACTGGCCAAAAAGCATTAGCTTATTAGAATTATCCTGCCTATGTGTATACTGGCTCTACTCTCAAGTAGTATTCATAAGGAACCATTTAGAAAACACTGCTATACTATACTTAACTAGATTTTCTTGATCTTAGTTTTGCAATCAACTTTGAGAGAAGAGAAGAAACTTAGAGTTGAAAATGCTAAATTGAAGAAAGAAATTGAAGAATTGAAGCAAGAGCTAATTCAAGCAGAAATTAAAAATGGAGGTGATTATTGAAATGACAGTTTTATTTACAATAGTAATTATTATTTCTTTTATTGTTTATTAATTTAGGTATTATGCTTTTTTTAAAATTTTATTTTACCCTCATAGCATCCCTTCTTGCATATTTGTCCTCCTTTACAGAAGGAAAAATGGAGATAAAGAAAAGGCACATGACCTGGCCTGAGATTATGCAAAATAAAGCAAAGCTGGGGTTCAGAAACTATGCTTTTAACTTCTATGCTATGCTTCAACTTGCTCATCACTGTTCCCTATTTAATAATTATTGAAAATAAACCATAATAACATTTAGTTAATATTTATTGTTTTAATATATTCTAGGCACTGTGTTGGCAGTTTTTTCACATACATTATGTATTTTATCCTTAAAATTTAATGTATACAAATATCCTTCTTTAGATGAGGAAATTGAAACTTAGAAGTATAAAGTAAGTTGTATGAACTTGTACAGTTTTTCAATTATCAGTCGGTAGATAATTATTTCAACTATTATGTTGTAAATAAAATTAAACATTTTATTGAATTATTTTAAAGGAGTCTAGATGAATTTACATTATTATGAAACACTAATAATAATATTCCTATTACAATGTCAAAGTATCGTACAGAAAGCCATTTGGCTATATGATAGAAAATTCTTCCTAGGTGAGTTAAGGAGTTCCAAGTATACTTACTACATTCTTTTGACCATTATTCTGTAAGTGAATTACTTTGAATACTGTAGTATGAACTCCTCTACCCTCAGTTAGCTGAATAAAAGTAGGTAAAAACTAATAATGTATGCTTAAAACTCATCTAGACCAGTGGTCGGCAAACTCATTAGTCAGCAGAGACAAATATCAATGATTGAAATTTCTTTGAGAGCCAAAAACCGACTTCTGCGCATGGGCCACGAAGTATCCATGCACGTGGTATTTTATGGAAGAGCCACACTAAAGGGGCCAAAGAACAGCATGTGGCTCGCGAGCTGCAGTATGCCAACCACTGATCTATACTGTAGATTCTAGAGAGAATTTCATTTGTTAGTGAAAATTTGAAGCTAGTTAATGGGTTAATGGTTTCCATGACTAAGAGATTTGGAATATAGTAAAATAATATCAATATATTAACAATTCAAATATTATCAATATAATAAAAGTTTTTAATATTGCTGAAGAAATTTTTTTTTTTTTTTTTTAGAAATTTTCTTTAAAAAGCATTAGTGATTAAAGGAGAAACAGACAGCTACTGTATTCTTTTATTATGTTTAAAATTTAGTTAATTTTTTGGCAACCTTTTTACATCTCGGACAAATAAAGACCTATTATAATAATCATATCCAGTGAATTTCTCTTTTTACAACAATTCATATTTGTGATTCACAATTTCATAGTTTATATCTTGTTTATTGGTTTAATGTAAATGGCATTACCTATTTTATTTTCTATATTAGTGAAACAAATACCATTTCCATCTGGTACTTCCCTGCAAGCTAATTCCACGGTTTCTGAAAGTGTAATCCAATTTATGCCAATCACACCCATATCTTCTGGTGCCAAAGAACAAGTAAAAGGAGGAGAAGGAGAAGAAAAGAAGGTGAAAGAGAAACTTGAAAAGAAAGGTATTTTACTTTAAGGTTATTTGGCTCTTGACTGGTTTATTGGATCTCAACATATTTTGTAATAATAATGATGTCAGAAAGAAAGTTCAAACTTTTCATGAACTAGAATAAAGTTAGAAACAGTATGATATTGGAACGCAGAAGCTGGATCCTAAAGGATGTGTGGAAGGTTGATCAGGTCAACAGGATAAGAGTATGGCATTTGAGGTATAGGGACCAGCATAACTAAAAACATGGAATGTAGATATTAAGTATAAAAGCCCATACATAATCTGGTATGACTGAATTTTATTGTAATTTTTTTTTTTGTGTGTGTGTGTGTGTGTGTGTGTGTGTGTAGGGGTATTTCAGAAAAGTCACAGTTGTAAAGTTGTGAAGATAGAAAAAGGATATTCCAGTCCAAGTATAATGTCTGAACTAAGGCGTGGGGGTGTTCAAGTTTTAGAACACGCTCTATTATTATTTTATGCCTACTTCTTAATAAAATTTATAAAGTGGAACAATTAGTTTGAATTGCTTTCATTATAACCATACCACCTAGTGATAAAATGATGTATAATAGTAGAGGATGTTCAGCCCCTATCTACTTATACTTAGCAGTATGTTTAACTGATGAGAGAGACATTTTGTCAGGGAAATTACATTTGTAGTTCATTCCATCAGGTGGCTACAGAGTATAGCATTCTTTCTAAATATAGTATGTTTCACTTTCCAAAGACTCACAGTAAAAAGTGTAAAGGATTTTCAACAGCTCTGTTTCAGGGAAATGCAAACTTTCTGCAAAGGGCCATTTATAATAGTAAACATTTGAGCTTTACAGGCTCTGTGACAACTAAGCACCTCTGCCATAGTGTAAATCCATCCACAGTCGATATATATATGAACAAACATGGTTGTGTTCTAATACAACTTTGACAGAAACATCATGCTGGATTTGGCCCATAAGCCATAATTGCCAACTTTTTGTCTTTCTTTCACTAGAGATAAAAACAGTTATTCAACAGAGAAATAGCTAAAATAGGGCTCAAGATGCTATGACTTGGATAAATAAATAATTATTTCCTTTATTTAAGTGAAAGTAGGTTATAAACACTTTTTTCTTTTAAGTTCATCTGTCTCAATGTTATGAAGTGTTTTCTAGTTTATTTTTGTTTTACTTCTGATGTTTACCCATTTATAAATATTTTTTAGGAGAGAAAAAGGAAAAGAAACAACAATCAGCAGGAAGTGCTGACTCTAAACCAATAGATGTTTCCCGTCTGGATCTTCGAATTGGTTGTATCGTCACTGCTAAAAAACATCCTGATGCAGATTCTTTGTATGTAGAAGAAGTAGATGTTGGAGAAGCCGTCCCAAGAACAGTTGTCAGTGGCCTGGTGAACCATGTTCCTCTTGACCAGGTGATTTGTACAAGTAACTTCTGCATACATATGATACTTTCATTTCGTCTCTCTTTAGATGTTTTTTCATATAATTTTGTATTAGATGACCAACTAGACTTTTATACACTCATATGTATATAGCATATGTATATGTGTGGAGATATATATGTGTATTTCCTATGACAGTGGCATAAATTAAAGACAGAAATAGTTTTTAATTTGCTCTTTCAAGATACCTTATGGGTAATTTTAATGATCTACCTATTTCCTCTTAACATGGTACTTCAGGGATATTGCAAAGACCATAGACTTCAACATGGAGATAGTTCTGCCTCTGTTCATTGCCAGCTCTGTGGATTATTGGATTTGTGGCTTGGATAAATCTTTACATTTATTAATTCATCTTTCTAGATGCAAATATTTATTGAGCTCCTGCAGGGTACCAGAAACTATATGCTAGAAAAGGGACAAAGCAGTTATATCAAGATGAAATTAAGATGCTAGATTTGTTTGTGTTTGCTTTTTAGTCCTTTTGTGAGGTTCACATTCCTATGGGGACATCAGAAAATCATAATACAATATTATCCTATATTAGAGACCCGGTGCACGAATTTATGCACAGGTGGGGTCTCTTGGCCTGGCTAGCAGTCAGGGCCATTGGGGCCATCTTACCCAGCCTGGAAAAGGGCCTGCTGGTGGCAGAGAGGGATCATGGGAGGTTGGTTGTGGGAGCACACTGACCACCAGGGGGCAGCTCCTGTGTTGAGTGTCTGCTCCCTGATAGTCAGTGCACATCATAGTGACTGGTCATAATGATCACTTAGGCATATATATATATATATATATATATATATATATATATCTCCATCCATCCAGTGCACGAAATTCATTCACTGGAGATGGGGGGTGCCCCTCAGCCCAGCCTGCAATCTCTTCAATTTTGAACCCCTTGGGAGATGTCCAACTGCCGATCTTTCTCACAATCTGGGACTGCTGGCTCCCAACCACTTGACTACATGCCTTCCTGATTACCCCTAACCACGTCTGCCTGCCAGCTGATCACCCCTAACCTTTCCCCTGACAGCCTGATTGCCCCTAACTATCCTCCTCTACAGGCCTGATCACCCCTAACTGCCCTCCCCTGCAGGCCTGGTACCCCTCAACTATCTTCCCCTTCAGGCTTGGTTCCCCCAACTTCCCTCCCCTGCGGACCATCTTGTGGCAGCCATCTTGTGTCCACATAGAGGCAGCCATCTTTTGTATTGGGGTGATGGTCAATTTGCATATTACCTCTATTATATAGGATAGATCAGTGGTCGGCAAACTGCGCCTCACGAACCACATGTGGCTCTTTGGCTCCTTGAATGTGGCTCTTCACAAAATACCATGGCCTGGACAAGTCTATTTTGAAGAAGTGGTGTTAGAAGAAGTTTAAGTTTTAAAAATTTAGCTCTCCAAAGAAATTTCAATCATTGTACTGTTGATATTTGGCTCTGTTGACTAAATGCGTTTGCCGACCAGTGGGATAAATAATGAAAGCCTAATATGCTAACTGTCTGGTTGTCCAGTTGTCTTTTCAACCAATCAAAGCGTATTATGCTAATGATATGCTAAGGCTGCTCAGCCACACACTGTGATGTACACTGAAAACCAGGTGGCAGTAATCTAGTCGCTATGACATGCATTGACCACCAAGGGGCAGACAGTCGACCAGTTGACTGGTTGCTATGAAGTGCTCTGACCACCAGGGGCAGATGCTCCAATTGATAGATTAACTTGCTGCTGAGGTCTGGCTAATCCGGACTGAGTGAAATGGGCTGGACACGCCTTGGAACCCCTCTTTAGTCCCTCCCAGCTAGCCAATCTCCAGTGTCTCTTCCCTGCTTCAATGGGGTCCCTCGGACTCACAACCCGGGACCCCTCGGGGGGGTGTCAGGGAGCCAGTTTTAGCTTGATCCCACAGGCCAGACCAAGGACCCCAGTGGTACACGAATTCCTACACTAGGCCTCTAGTGTTAAATAATAATAAATATCAAGAAAAAATGAAATAGGGAAGAATCTAGTGTATTGAAGCTAGGATAATGATGTCATTTTATATAAAGTAACTGAGAAGGGCCTTATAAAGAAGTGATATTTAAGTAAAAGGTCTTAGAAAATAAGTCATGTGTCCATGTGGTGGTGGAGCATTTTAGATTGCTGAATTAAATGCATGCCTGTGATACTCACTTCGGCAAAATAAATAAGGGGAAGTATCATGTGAGATGAAATCAGAGATAAGTTTGCCAAATAACATCGGGTCTTATAGTTCATTGTAAAGACTTTGGCTATTATTCTGAAATGAAAACCATTAGAGGTTTTTTGAGCTAAGGGGTAACATGTTCTGCCTCATATAGCTGCTCTAATGAGGGATGAGTGAAGGCAATTCTCTAAATGTTTGAATTTGACACATGTATGTATGGTCTTTTTCTCTTTATATTGATCTTGTATAGGATGAGGACCCCTTCATAACTACTTAGGAATGTATGATGGAGAAAAGAACCAAATGGTCATAAGTCAGATAAATTGGAAATTACTCCTCATTGGGGCTTTATCTTTTTTGTTCTCACAAGTTGCAGACTGTTTCTATTCCAAAAGCTGTCATTCACAGTCATTAGCAAATCTCTTTATACACATCTGTATCTAACCCATGAAGGCAGCACTACTAAACATTTATAAAACGGACATTTAAACCCAGCCCCCCTAAATTGCATACAAAATTTTGTAGTTTGGTATATTTTTCAAATGTAAAGGTCCACAAATGTCATCTGTTTTTTTTAAAAGGTTAACTCTGTTGTTTCTCTTATATATAATTGTATATAACATTTTTTAATATGTGGCATTTCAAGTTATTTGTTGAAAATGAGTCTTATTCATGAAGACCTCCAAAGGGGGAGGGGGAGGGCTTTGGAATTTGAAACTTTGATCTATTTTTAAAAATTCTTTATTGTTGAAAGTTGCAAATGTCCTCCTTTTTTCCACTCATTGCCCCCTCTTCCTGGTTCTTGCCCTGCCCCAGGCTTTCACCACTCTATTGTCTGTGGCCATAGATAATGCATATATGCATAAAAGAGCTTTGGCTAACCTCTTCTCAACTTCCCCCTTCCCTCTGAGACTCCTCATTCAGTTTCATGTTTCCATGCCTCTGGTTCTATTTTATTCGTCACTTTATTTTGTTCATTGGAGTCTTTGTTCATTTATTTTGAGTTTTAGATACAACTGTTAATAGATATGTATTTATTGTCATTTTATTGTTCATATTTTTTATCTCTTCTTCCTCTTTAAGAATATCTTTCAACATTTCATTAAGTATTGATTTGGTGGTGAACTCCTTTAGCCTTTACTTTGTCTGGGAAGCTCTTTATTTGACCTTCGATTCTAAATGATAGCTTTGCTGGATATAGTAATCTTGGTTGAAGGTCCTTGTTATTCATCACCTGGAATATTTCTTGCCTCTCCCATCTGGCCTGCAAAATTTCTCTAGAGAAGTCAGGTTATAGTCGAATGGGCATTCCCTTGTAGGTAACTAACTGCTTTTCTTTGGCTGATTTTAAGATTCTCTCTTTGTCTTTAGCCCTTGGCATTGTAATAATGATGGATCTTGATATGGGGTTCTTTAATTTTTTTGAGGAACTTTCATACTGTTTTCCATAGTGGCTGCACCATTTTACATTCCAACTAACAGTGCATAATGGGTCCCATTTCTCTACATTCTCACCAACACTTATTATTTGTTGACCTTTTGATAACAGCCATTCTGACAAGTGTGAGGTGGTTATATCAAGTGATTTTTTATTTCCCTGATGATTAGTGATGTTAAGCATCTTTTCATATGTCTATTTGAAAAAAATTCTGTTCGGTCATCTACCCATTTTTTAATTGAATTGGTGTGCTTTATTATGTTGAGTTGTATGTATACTTAGTACACTCTTTATAACTTTATCAGATATAATGTCATTACAAATATCTTCTCCCATTTGTTAAGTTGTATTTTCATTTTGTTGATGGTTTCCTTTGCTATGCAAATGATTTTTAGGTTGATGTAGTCCTATTTGTTTATTTTTGCTTTTATTGCCCTAACCTACGGAGACATATCCAACAAAATATTAAGATTGAGATCAAAGTGTTCATTGCCTATGTTTCAAGGAGTTATATGGTTTCAGGAATTAACATTTTAGCCTTTAATCCATTTCAAATTTTTTATAAGAAGTTGCCCAGATTCTCTTTTTTACTTATCTATTCAGTTTTTCCAGCATCAAATATTTGTATCCTTCAATTTTAGTGAATTTAGTAGTTTTAAATTTTTTCTGTGGAGTCTTTAGGATTTTCTATTTATATAGTATTATGTCATTTACATATGGTAATGGTTTTACTTCTTCCTTTATGTATTCTAATAGAGTGTACTTTAATGTATTCTAGGTATAATCACTCCAAATTCTATACATCTTAATTATCTATTTGTGTTTCATACAGATGCAAAATCGGATGGTGATTTTACTTTGTAACCTAAAACCTGCAAAGATGAGGGGAATACTATCTCAAGCAATGGTGATGTGTGCTAGTTCACCAGAGAAAGTTGAAATCTTGGCACCTCCTATCGGGTCTGTTCCTGGAGATAGAATTACTTTTGATGCTTTTCCTGGTAAGTATCTATTAGCCATTATTGAAAATCATTTGGGAATTAATGTTCACAAAGTGATGCTTATAATGTTTACGTTTAAAATTAAATCCTGAGTATGATTTACTATGCTTTACATTAAAAGACTGTTATTACTGAGATTATTGCAATTGGCTCAAGATGACATATTAAGTACAAACATCTATCTCCCACCCCATTAATGCATTAATGTACACATTACATAAAACACCAGAGAGTTTTTGCTTTAGGTAAAATACTAAATATAATCCCTACATAGCAAAAGAGTGTGATGTGGACATAAAACAAGAAAATGTGCTACAAAATTATTTAAGCTGTAGATTATTTCAGAATGCAACACATAAATGGGAAGAGATGAAAAGCTGACATGGGGGGAAATACATATAATTCTCAAAGTTCATCTAATATATTTATATATGCTTTTACTTTAGGATATAGAGAAAATCTATAAGTTAAACTTCATACTTTGTTTTATTTTTAAGTATACTTTTATTGATTTCAGAGAAGATGGGAGAAGGGGAGAGAGGGATAGAAACATCAATGATGAAAGAGAAGCATTGATCTGTTGCCTCTCACACATCTCCCACTGGGGATTGAGCCTGCAACCCAGGCAGGTGCTTTGACTGGGAATTGAACTTTGACCTCCTGGTTCATAGGTTGATGCTCAACCACTAAGCCACACCGACCAGCACATATCTATTTTAATAATCTGAAAGGAAGTTTCATTTATATTGTTTGCTTTCTCCAGTAAAATGCTCCTGAGACTGATGAAGCTTTATAATGCATGAAAAAGTTTTTTCAAACAGGTCTTTGAAGCAGAAGAGAAAGAATGCTTGTAGATGTAGAATAAAATTTTCTTTCATTAAAGAGGGAGGACCTTATAAAGAGGATAAACAGAAATAAAAAATTGAATTTACTTAAAGATATTCATTTAACTAGAATAATGGGAGAAGGAGAAATAAATTAGGGTAACAAGTAGAATTAGGTTATAATTTTACTCAGATGAGGACTCTAATGCACGAAATAAAATAACAAACAAAATAGAAATAGATTCATAGAGAACAGATTGACAGCCTTCAGAGGGGAGGGGGTTTGCAGGGCGGGGGGAAAACGGTGAAGGGATTCAGAAAAAAAGAAACACCCGAAAACTCATAGGCAAAAACAATAGTATAATAATTATCAGAGGAAAAGGGGGGTGGGAGGGTAGAAGAGGGTATATGGAGGGATAAATGGTGATGGAAGGAGACTTGACTTGGGGTGGTGGATACACAATATATTATACAGATGATGTATTATGGAATTGTACACCTGAACCCTATATGATTTTATTAACCAATGTCATCCCAATTAAAAAAAAAATCACCACATTCATACCAAACCAGGTTACTACCAATGTTTTTTATACTTAGTAATTTTACAGGTGAATGATAATATCTCATTTAACATATCACGCTGATTACTAATATGATCTCAACACCTTTTTAACTATTAAATATTTTAGTAACCATATCACTTTCCATATTAATATTGAGATGTACATCTTTTTTGCTGTTGATTTACAAGAATGCTTTTTAATTAAAAATATGATCACTGTCACATATTACTATTATAGTCTTGACTTCTAGTTTAACTCAGATACTATATAATAAACATATATCAACTTTAAAAAAGACAATTAGGTTTATAAGTCAGAATTGATTTGGAGACATATTTTTAGAAAAAGCTGAGTTTTCATTTAAGAGCCAGATTTATGTGATTATGTAGGCCTGTTTTTTATCCTATGTCAATTGTGTTTGATGAAATATTAGAATATGAAGAATTTTAACATTAGAATAGGATAGACAATGGGAATGAAATTATAGTTTCCTTGAAACTAAACTACCCCTTCCTAATCAAAAGTAGATTATCTAAGGGATTGTTTAACAAGTACCATAATTTTGAATGCCTCTGTATATCTTGAAGGTTGGTAGATTCAAAACCATAATGGTCTGTGCTTTTTTTTGGTAAATTGGGTTTTGGGAAAATCCCAATCTGAATCATTTCTCAAAGCAGCATGGTGGCTTTAAATTCTAGCAACATATCATCACCACTCTTCTCCCACAAACAATATCAAAACATTTCCCCAAACATCATATTTTGGAGTAAGTCTGTACCTGACACCTAAAATTCTGGTTAGAGGTTTAATTCACTAAATTGGAATAGAACAGTAATAAAGAGATCTTTTCCTTTAGGATTCAACACACATTGGAAAAAAAACAACAAAAATTGGTTTACTTTACCAGATTACCATTTGCCTTTCCATTTATTTAAATACTTAAGATGTAGTACAATTTTTGAATTTTCTTTTTTTAATGTAAATTGTAGAGGCTTATATTTAGAAATGGAATAAATCAAATCTTTAACTCACTGTTTTACATATTTGGAAACTGGGGCATGGTACAATTTAGTTGCTTAAAGATATGCAGAATTAGTAAAAGGATTAAACAGATGTGTCTGAATCACTAATACTATAGCATTTTTGTTTGTTGATTGTTGCTTACTGTAAATTATTCTGAAATATTTCATTAATGAAGATATATAGCTCCTATTTCAATGACATATTTCATTCCCTTACTTCATAGAATTAACAGGGAAACATTTTAGCAGTTGAGTCCATTATTATTTGGATATTTCTGATGACTAAATTGAAAGTAAGTTTTACTCCTCAGTGGTAGCATTAGAGTCTATAATAGCCCAAATGGATTTCTTTCCTTTGCTACATTCTTCACTCTCTGAGGTGTTTTTTTTTTTTTTTATGTGTGTGTCTATATTTACATTGTTCCAAAGCCTGGTATTTTTAAATTTTTAGTTTCCCCTTGTGCCTTAGCTCATGAATATGGTAAGATATATTTATAAAATGAAAGAAGGGAAAAATATTTGTAAAGTGAAAACCTAACTTTATAATTTTAATGTTTTTGTTGATTTCAGAAAGGAAGGGAGAGATAGAAACATCAATGATGAGAGAGAATCATTGATCAGCTGCCTCCTGCAAGCCCTCTAATGGGAACTGAGGCCTGACAGGGAATTGAACTGTGACTTCATAATTCACAGTCTGATGTTCAACCACTGAGCTACACCAGCTGGGTGGGAAAAACTAATTTTAAAATGGCCCATGAGGTTGCTTGAATTCTTATCACTTACAATAGGCTGAACCGAGCCAAACAGCATTGAATAATTGATAAATTTTGGGACATGAGGTCTGTTATTGTTCATCTTGCTATGGTTCCACATCAGTTACTGCTTCTGTAGCAGTTAATCTGAAAGGAAATAACAGCTAATACTACACAACACACCATTAGTCTTATTTTTTTTTCTTTTCAGAAAGAGCAATGATTTACCAGTGCTTTTCCCCCCCCAGCATCTGTTTTGCATTTTAAAGCTTAAGGTGTCTGCTGGTACATGTTCACTTGATGTGCTCAGTGTCTAGAGATTTACATTTCATGATACTTAAGTGTGGTATAGAAATTGCAATTGGGGCTCAAACCTTTGAATTACTATTCAGCCTTGGAAAAGCTTTTATACTTAGTAACTTTTTTTCTCTAACTATAGAACCGAAAATGTCCATTGAGTTTAGAAGATGCCATGTAATATATATATTTTTAACAATGGCTAAAAAACTACCCCGCACAATACTTATTTTAATCGTAAGTGTGTCAAGCTATAAATTTTAATATTTAAAAGTGGTAACTGGTCCCTAAAGCACCAAGCAAAATTAACTTGAAAATAATATTATAGCTAGAAGATAAAGGCAATGACAACCTTTTCTTTTTTTTTTCCTGAAAAATGCACTGATTTTGCTCTAAAACTAAATGAAAATTTGCGTTCAAGCTTTTAACTTCCAAGACCATGTTTATTTCTCTTGATAGTGAATCTTAATTATAAATATGTTACAGTTAATTGTAAAGCCTGTATGGTATGCAAATGTTTCACTTTTGTATCCATTTATTCTTTAAAAAGACAAAAATCTTGTCTATATTTTATTCTTCTCTCAAAAACCTATTTCAGTCAGTTTCTCTCCTTGTTCTATCAGAACTGCTCTGATCAAGATCACTAATTACTCTCTAGCTAACAATCCATGGCTAGTTCTCATTCAGTCCTTTTCTTTATTTACTTGACATCTGGCATCACTTTCCTGATGGTCTCCTGCTTCACTGGCTGCTGCCTTCTCATCTCCTTTGCTGATTCCTCCTCAGCTGCATGACTTCATAACACTGAAGTGCCCAGATCTTGGTCCTTTACTTCTCTTTTTCTTTCCACACTTGCTTGTCTGTCTGTCTGTCTCTCTCTCTCTCTCTCTCTCTCTCTCTCTCTCTCTCTCTCTCTCTCTCTCTCTCTTTCTCACTCTCTCTCTCTCTAAATCTCCCCCCACCTCCACATTATTTCCTTGGCTATTTTATCCAGTCATGTTTCTAGCTAGCTGTCTTCTGCACTGTCTGAAGAGAGAATACATATCCCAGTCTTCCCCCCAGAATTCCCATTTTTCATATCATTTGACCAGAACTCCATTCTCTCAACTGCTGTTTATTTTCTCATGCAGCTTCTCCTTCAGAAAATAATACTGGGTATACTCAACATACCAAGAATTGTTCTCATTATCTCCACCACCCCCACTTTGGTCTTAGCACCAACATCCTTTATCTAAAAAGCCTCTGACTGATTTCCCTGCTTTTGCCCATGCACTTTGTCTGTTTTCAGTTATAGTAGGTGGAGTGATTTAGGTCAGATTATATTTGCTTCTTTGCTTAAAAGCTTCCCATTTGACCAGAGTGCAAGCTAAGTCCTTATGGTTGCCTTTCATTAACTGCACGGAGTCTCCAGTTTCTTCCTCACTTTAATTGAGCCGCTTACTCTGTCCTGAGATGTCTCCATTGCTTGGTTCCTCATTCTATCCAGATCTTCAAATGTCATCTTTATTTTTCTCCGAAATACTTATCATCTAGTATACTGTACATTATTTAATGCCTGTATTAAATAATGTACAGATATATAAGCATCATGAAATCAAGATTTTTCCTTTTTGTTCTTATTCTCTGCTATTTTCCTATCATCTAGAGCAGTGGTCAGCAAACCATGGCTCACAAACCACATTCGGCTCTTTGGCCCCTTGTATGTGGCTGTTCTACAAAATACTACGGCCTGAGCAACTCTATTTCGAAGAAGTGGCATTAGAAGAAGTTTAAGTTTAAACAATTTGGCTCTCAAAAGAAGTTTCAGTCATTCTACTGTTGATATTTGGCTCTGTTGACTAATGAGTTTGCCAACCACTGATCCAGAAAAATGCCTGGCGTAGATTAGGAGCTCAATAAATTGATTAAAGAAAAAATAAAAAGAAATGTAGTAGTAAAACATGTTAAAAACAACAACAAAGCAGTATTTAAGAACAGGCCTGAATATTTGCCTTCATTATTACAAGATCATTCCGATCAAACTACCAAACCACTTTCCCCTGTTGATTAGCTTTGTCAAATTAATTGACCCCTACTTGCCATGTTATACTTTAGTTTTTGTGCAATAGTTACAATTATTATAGTTCCAAAACGCAGTTTATCAAACATAAATTAAGTAAGTTAGTACTAGGCTTTTAATGGCCAAAGAGAAGCTGGTGATCCAGGAGCATTTTATACAAAAGAATGGCCCAATTAAAGTGAAATCTCTGGTTCTTATTCTAGATTTGTGAATGCCTGGGACTCTGGAATTTGTATTTATTGCTTTTTGTAGGATTTAAATGCTGAGAAGGTGATCACAGCTTTTTGCATCTGTACAAACTCATCGTGAAATAGTTCCTATTCCCTATGCATTTTGTTTAAAATTAGTTGACCTAAAATAATCTCTGAATGATTAGTTCTCTTACAATATATGTAACCATTTCCAAATGGTGGTTATTGGCATGTGTTTAGCAATTTCAGAGGTTCTGTAGTTTTTAGCTTGAAGAATTTTTATTGATATCATCACTTACCTTCTTCACATACCTGTGCCAAAAAACAGGAGGAGGGGTAAGAAAGGGAAGAAAATTAGAAAAATAAGATTTAGAAGAAGGATATAACACACAGGAACGATAAAGACTTCTCTGGAAAAGATAGTTCATTAAAAAAATTCTTTAAAATATTAGAAATGTTTTCCATAAGAGGAGATTTAAACTTTCCAGCTAGCTTTATATCCTACCAAATAGTGTTTTGTTCAAAAAGATTCTTAATAAGCCAGAAGGTTAACACTGCATCCAAGATTTTGTACTCTGATTTATATTCAGTGATCGTACTGTGACAGGTTTTAATAATAATCTCAAATTTTTGTTTCATTTATTGATTTATTAAAATCTAAAAACTACATTCAGAGTGTTCAAGTATTGAGTCTTGTTTGTTAAAAGACAACAGTTAAGCTTTGGAGATTCCTCTTATTAGTTCCTAGTTTATTTTTAGTTCAAATCTTTATTACTTGAAAATTATTAGTCTTATATAAGAAGTTTAAACCTTTCAGATCTTGGCTCCACAAGCGGTCAGTCACCTGGGAACCTTTCCAAGTCCCAGCCTTTTCATTTATAAGAAAGTGTTTTTGTTTTGTTTGTTTTTAAAAAGTGATATTGACTTTTTACAGAGAGGAATGGAGAAGGTTAGAGAATTAGAAATATCAATGAAAGAGAAACATTGATCAGCTGCCCCTGCACCCCCCCCCCCCCCCCACTGGGGATGTGTCCTTGACCAAAATTGAACCTGGGACCCTTCAGTTTGCAGCCCCACGCTCTATCCATTGAGCCAAACCAGTTAGGGCAAGAAATAGTTTTTAATGGTATCTATTTCATTTGTTTTGTGAGGTTTAACTTTTGAAACACTTAGCTAGCTGCCCTTTTTTTTTTTTTTTTTTTTAAGTTCTCAGTTGTAACTTTGGGCCTTAATTTCCTCACCTATAAATTGATTGTAATTAATCATTTTATATGCTTTATTGACATAATTATGATAAATAACTAAATAAATGTAAAACAGTCCAGTGATGGTCACATAGTAAGCATGATATGTGTTATGTATTATTATGAATATTATTTTCTATACATTTCAAGAAGCTTAATTTTCTGCTGCACCACAGCTTTTTGTACTTGGGGCTTACATCTACATTCAGCAAGAATTTACTACACCATCTGCTCTTCATAAGAAGCTTTTATACAAGTCTGGGACACTCTGCTTCTTAAATTAATTCTTCATCAGTTAGCGAGCATCTCTTTTTTGTGGGGTGAGGGGGATTTGGGGTTAGTACTCAGGCCTCCCTGAACAGCATTTCTACCTCCAGCTTTTCAGAATTCTGGAATGCTCACTTCTCCACATGGTTTGTGCACAAGCAAAATAAGATTTTGCTCTTAGACTAGGAATGGCTTTAAAAAAAAAAATCTTGTAGATACTTTATATATTCTTACTTTTTCCTATTCTGTTTATTAATTAATAATAATTAATGTCCAATCTAGTGGTCTTAAAGGACTAGAAGAAATCCTCACTTTTATAGTCAGTCTTTCAGTTTTAGTTTCATTGCATGTTCTTTTACTGTGAATACATCATTCAGTTAAATCTCTGTTATCTTTGAAAATCTGCATATCAGAGGACATTTTTGTATGTTCTTGCCAGTTTCGTGGCAGTTTATGAAGAGCTAATAAAAGAACAAAGCTACCATGGCCAACCAATTTTCTGTTTTGTTATTCCTATATGAGTAGAGAATAAACAGTAGATAATAAGTAATAAAGATATAAAATAAAATTAGTTCCAGTAATGTTTAAAATATTCTTTTTAAAGTAATTCTAAGAGATTTCAACTTGGGAGTCATTAATAAAAATTAGAAAGTTATATTATATTTCTATGATTACTGAATTGTACTTCAGTAATATTTTTTTATTACCTCCAGCAAAATCTTTTTTCATTTGAAGCTAAAGCTTAAGAGATACGTTGCTTTATAAAAATTGTTTCTTGAATGGAGTCTTCATTCCAAATGTCATTGAATATCATAGATATAAAATGCTGTTATATTAAACTTTGTTTTCTACTTCCTTATCATTCATTAAATGGAGAGTTGCTTGGCATATTGGCTTTCTTTAAGCCTAGGCAGATACATTCTACAGTTTATCTTTTATTGAACATAAACTTAATACTGTGAATTACTATAAAGAGAGGGGATGGGACATTCCAATGTCAGAATGTTGTTTCTTCCCTAAAGCATAGTTCATTATATTAGAAAGCAGAACAAAAGTTATGGTGTTGAATCCTGACTTCACTTGTTAATTGTATGATTTATCCTCTCTGAGACCCAGTTTCTTTATATTTGATGTTAGAGTAAGTGTTGTGTGAATTGCATGCAACAGCATATATTCCTGGTTTTTAGAAAATGCTAGTACTTGTCTCTTTGCTACTTTTCTTTTTGTCTTTTTCCATCTCACCAAATGGAATGTAAAGCAAGTGAAACCCAAGGTAGTTACATTTAGCTAGATAATCCCAACATGTAAGCCATGCTCTATATTTATAAGAAATCTTTAAAAACTATAGCAACAATCTAGACATTTATTTTGTATAATGAAACGTACAGAAAAGCATATGCTGCTTCTGCCACATTTAAAAATATAACACATGAAATTATTCTCTCATTGCTTCACAATTTTTAAGAGGATCTTATATTTTTTTTGCCAAAACCGGTTTGGCTCAGTGGATAGAGCGTCAGCCTGCGGACTGAAAGGTCCCAGGTTCGATTCCGGTCAAGGGCATGTACATCGGTTGTGGGCACATCCCCGGAAGGGGGTGTGTAAAAGGCAGCTGATCAATGATTCTCTCTCATCGATGTTTCTAACTCTCTATCCCTCTCCCTTCCTCTCTGTGAAAAATCAATAATATATATATATATATATATATATATATATATATATATATATATATATATATAAAGAGTATCTTATATTTTTAAATTTGTGAGAAAATTTATTGGTCTATATTACTTGCAAAAAATGTAAGAGTGAAAAATAAGATCTTCAATATTCGTAAGGAAATGACAAAATACATTTTACTAATCAAGAATATAAATTGCTTACATCATGAAAATAAATGTTAATAGTAAGTGCTAAAATTCTGGTCAGATCTAAAGATCAGAAAGTAGTGCCAAGACAATTCACTAGGAATGTGCATGGACAATTTATTAGCTTATTAGTTATATAATTTTATTTTTTTCCAACAGGAGAGCCTGACAAGGAACTGAATCCTAAGAAGAAGATTTGGGAGCAGATCCAGCCTGATCTTTACACCAATGATGAGTGTGTGGCTACATATAAAGGAGCTCCATTTGAGGTTAAAGGGAAGGGAGTGTGTAGGGCTCAAACTATGGCCAACAGTGGAATAAAATAAAATTACATCAAAATTCTTCAGTTACTGAAATGCATTGGAAAAAACTTCGATGCCAATAAAAAGAAATACATTTTGTCACTTATGCCTAAAATATAACTGGCTCATTTTTGTGTTATTTGTCTTCAAGATTGGACTTGTCTGTTACTAGTATATTTGTTTTCAATTGATTGGAGAAACTCTATATTTTTATCTATGATTTTTGACCCTTTATAATGTAGGGAGGAAATTCTCTGTTTTGTGGTGATTTATTTTTTAGCAAGGATATTGATGTTAGCAGATTTTTTCTTTATGCATTTTTAGATAACGAACTATATTAGCATTTAGTTTCTTATTTATAGGCACATGATACATGAAATTTCAAGTCCTTGAATTTTTAGTATATTGTGTATCTGTGCTATAAGTGTCCTCTCCTCTTAAAAAATGACAAGTTAGAAGTTGTGTCAGGTTTATCAACTAATCATCATATTATAATAATACTGAAAATGAACAAGTGTTGAATCTTGAGAGCCAAACATCATAAAAACTAGGAGATATGCCATTTGAACATTATTGCTATTTCTTGCCAAAGTAACCCAGGCTTGTATATTTAAGGCAATTTTTTTTAGGTTTTAGACTGAAATTTTCAACTGTGTGTTGAACTTTTCATTGAGAGCAAAGTAAGTAGTAATAAACACATTGTGAAGTGTTGCCAGTATAGTTTCCAATAATTGACCATAAAAGCAGCATCCTATTTTTTTTCTCTAACTGACCCAAAGATTCCGTGAGTAATAAAACATTATTAGTAGCTCTTTATCTTTAGAAGAGCATGTAAGATTGATGAATTTGCTTTGTCATGAACCATCATTGTCCATATATTAAAAGAAATGGCAGCCAAAAACTTAATATACATTAACGTATCTATTGCCTATTTTCACTCCTTTTAGATGAGCATATGTTGATAACTAATACACAAATGAGTTTTTAAAGTTATTTTATATTCAAGATCTATTATTTTTGGAATAAAAAATGTGACAAAGTATTTTGTGATTCTGTATTTTTAACTTTTCTTAATTATAACAGATTTATTTCAATAACTAATATAATTTATTCCTAATTCTTCAAATTACATAAAAATATTACTCAATTAAGTTGATCAGTGTAGCTCCATTCAGTGGTTGTTTTTAAAAATTTTTTTATTGGTTTCAGAGAGAAGAAGGGAGAGAGGGAGAGAGAGAAAAACATCAGTGATGAGAGAGAATCATTGACTGGCTGCCTACTGCACACTCCCTAATGGGGATCATGCCTGCAACCCAGGTATGTGGCCTGACCTGGAATCGAACCATGAACCTCCTAGTTCATGGATCAATCGATGCTCAACCACTGAGCCACACCTACCAGGCTATTCAGTCTTTATTTTTAAAAAGAAAACTTAATTTTGTTTTCTTTGTATTGCTGGTATAAGAGAGCTCTTCTAGAATCAACAACAAAAAATGGTTGGTGAGCTGGGCATAGCTTTCCTGGCTTTTAAATGGCAGTGAGCTCTTTAAGGGTTTTAAAGTGGGACGTAGTCTTAGGTCACAGGATAACAATTAGTGCCCCTGGACATCTATTTCTCGATGTCTGGAACAAATCTGACCTTACCCCTATACTTTATCATCCAGGTTGGCCCACTATCGTACATGAATATTGGGAGTACTAACTTTTCTTATATTTACAAATTCCATGTATTTTTTTGAGATGAGTCATTTTCAGGACATGTTGAGTTTAATATAAATATTAGAAACATTTTTTTCTGCCTTGTTTCTAAGCCCATCAAACAGATTGGTGTCACTTTTTTAAGATAATGTAAATTCCCATTTAGACTTTACAAAATATTCAAAGTAATTCATGGAAGTTTAGTAGGAAACATGTCATCAGAATAGAAGGTATGACCCTAGCCAGTTTTTTTGCTTAGTGGGTAGTGTTGTGGACTGAAAGGTCCTGGGTACGATTCTCATAAAGGGCATATGCCCGGGTTTTGGGCTTGATCCCTAGTAGGGAGGTGGCAGTGAAGGAGGCAGCCAAACAATGATTTCCTAAAACCAATAAAAGATACATTAAAAAAAAACAAAGACTAGCAGGTATGGATAGGGCCTCGTAGAATAACATTAATGAGCTTAACCAGGTCCCAATGTCTGAGGCTTAGCATTTCAAGCCCAAAAATCTGCATTTGTAGATGACGAGAAATCCATGGAGCCTAATATTATTGGTTTTGAGGCCAGATTACCTGGTTTTGATTACTAGCTCTACAATTGAACTGCCTGTGTGACCTTGTGTATTTGTTCAGCCTCCATATACCTTACATCCCTCATCTGTAACATGAGTGTAAGTAATAACGGTATTTACTTCGTAGAGTGGTGAAGATTGTGTAAGTTAGTACCCCTAGAATACTTAAAATAATGTCAGTAATATAATGCACATTATGTTGATATGAGTTTATGATAGGGATGTTCTTTTTCAGAAAAAGTGTTTTGGAAACATTTCCTGAGAAGTTGAGTTCTTGTTAAGATTACTTGGTGTACATAAATTAGAGTGTCTTAAGCAATATTACATACAGGTTGTGCCCTGTCTTTCCCAACAGACCTGATAGCTCATCTACATCAGATGTAATATCTCTTTCTTGATAGCAGTGTTCATTACTGAAACTTTCTCTGCACTCCCACTGAAATTCATTTTTTTAGACCTTTATATTCTGGCCAGCCCTATTCATTGATGTTCTTTCGCTGATTTAATATTGATAAAGTGTAAAATAGCTTTGCCTGTTTTTTAGACTAGCAAGACTATATTTTTAACTGTTGTGTTTAACACAATAGAAGCACTCATATTTTCAAGGTTTTAGTGGGTAAGGAAGCACCTCTCTATTGCTTATGATAGGGGCATTAAAGGAACGTAAGTATAGCTCCTCAATTTTCCAGGGAAATTATATATTGTACATTTAAAAAAGTAAAAATATCAAAAGTGCACAATATGGGCTGTGTACTTTAGCTACCTAAATTGTGACAAAAATCCTGGTCCTAAGTGCTGTGCAGTGGTATGAAAACTAACTTTATTACCATGGTACAAAATAAAAACTAGTGAAGCAGGTTAAGTGACTCAAGTTGCTTTCTTGTGGAGGAAGCTTTGACCTTCCAATTTTTAGTTAAGAAATAACTGTGTTTTCCTCTAAAGGGTGATCTATTAATATCTGTCTATTGTCATGAATTTCATTTTATAATTATTAAGATATTTATGTTTTATAGCTAACTAGGGGCCCAGGACACGAAGATTTGTGCGTGGGGGGTGGGTCCCTCAGCGAATATTAGAGGTCTTTTTTTTCTTTGCTCCATTGGTGGAGATTTCCTAGAAGTTGCAGGATATCTTCCCTTTAATTTTTCCTCGACTCTGACTTTACTTATGTCTCTCACCTTTGTTTTCCCTCCATCCCCCACCTGCAACAGTAACTTGCTCCAGGCTCACTTTGCTCTAGTGTCTAGGAGAGCCTGCAATGCATCTGCCACCAGAAGTATGATTCCCGGCATTCCTGTGCTCCTCATGCTCTTGGTTTCCACTTCTGGTCCAGGGGCTTCACGAACCAAGAGGACTGAGAACTCTAGCCGCCCCCAGGCTGGGCTGACAGGACCATACTCTCCAGTGGCATCCCTGGGACCCTGGCTGCTTGGCACCTACACACATGCCTGCTGGCCATAGGCTCAAAGTGGGCGGGGTCCCAGGGATGCCTACCACATCACCCCAGCTACAGGTGGGCATCCCACCCTGCTGCCCTGACTATGCAGAGGGTGGGTGGGTGTCCTGTCCATCCCTGGCCACTTGGCACCTGCGCACATGCATGATGCCCATAGACCCACCATCTTTGGTTAATTTGCATACTCACTCCTGATTGGCTGTGGGTGTCATGGAGGTATGGTCAATTTATATATTTGTATATTATTAGTATAGATAAAATACTTTCACAAGTCTTACCAATTTCTTAACTCCCTAGAGGTACACCAGCCATTTTACCCCAAAGAATCAACAAAAGTTAAATAAATGCCTGTGCTAACATAGAACTATCTGACCCTAGGTCTTCCAATCCCTGCTAATTCTGTGCTCTTATCCATTACAATTCACTTGGTTTCATGTCAGTTCGTCACATGGTTTCTTTTCTGTGAATGAAAAGTTAAGCTTTTGTTTAAAATGTGGGGAAAGATAGTGATAGAAATAAAACTTAAGCTCTATATTTCATGTAAGGAGAATAGGGTAGCTTCTTTAGTGGGACATTTAAGAAATTCCCTGGAATGTCATTACAAAGAGAATTGATCAAGTTTTTTCTTTTTCTTTTTTTCTTTTTGTTGCTGAAATTACTTGGCAAAACCAGGCTGTTGCTGCTGACAGCAGTTGCCTTTCTAAAGAGCCATGTGCCTTGATTCTTTGAATTGTGTACTGTTGAGGGCACTGTTCCTATAATGACAATTCATCCCAAATTCCAACCTATGAGAGTAGGCACTAAGGTAGATGATAGATAGATAGATAGATAGATAGATAGATAGATAGATAGATAGATAGATAGATAGATAAATAGGCAGGCATTTTAACCAGGAACAACTCTTTACAGTTAATACCCCATTTGCAGTCCTACTTGGATAACAACCGTGGAATCTATATATATAAAAGCCTAAGTGACTGTTACAACCAAATGACCAGTCGACCAGTCCTATGATGCTCACTGACCACCAGGGGACAGACACTCAATGCAGGAGCTGCTACCTGATGGTCAGTGTGCTCCCACAGCCAGCCGATGGCATCAGTGTCCAGCATCCTTTCCTTCCGTGCCTGGCCAGGTGACCATCACCTCCTCTCCCAATACCGCAGGTGCCTTCAGGCCTCGGGCTGGGATGGAGAACTGGGGATGAGTGGTGGTGGATGCAGCCCCTTTCCCAGTGAGGTCATGGGCCGGTTCCCTTCTTGGGGCCAGTGTTCCCCCGGCCAGCAGGCCCCAATCAGCC